ATCTTGATGTGAAGAGCCACCCATCTCCATGATGTTTTTCTATAGCCTATTACGTTCCTTCATAGAGTGCTCTCACACGTAAGCGGTTAATTAGGTGCGCCATCATGTGGTCGGACAATATTGCCTTTTAATTATTCTGCCATTGGTGCAATGACAATGTATCTATTTTTTATTATAATTAAAAATCGCGATACCTCGATTTAAAAAAAAAAATCGCCTTAAAACGTAAATTCGAATTAATTGAAAAAAATGAAAAGAATCGCCCAGCCCTACTCCCATGTATTAGATACACTTGAGGGACAGAGATAATCTTCCATCCATGAGCTTTCGGATTGAGACTTGCCAAACGTTTTAACCCTGTACCATCGTTTCATAACATTCACCCAAATTCTGAAGGTTTATCCTCATAGACTCTTCTAATGATGCAGAATCAGAAATATCCTGGTCCAGTCCAGGAAAAATACAACTTTAATAAGTTTCTTTCCAGTTGAGTAAAGATGGTGACAAGAAAAGACATAATCTCTATCTCTTTCTTTTTTTTAATACAATGTTTATCAAATTTTGAGCATATTAACACAGAACATGTGTGGTTCCCACATTAAAACAACAAACAAAAGAGAGCTGAGTCAAAGCAGTCCTTGAGCCTACATGATGTCATTTCCTGTTGCCATTTTTGCTTAACTGAAAGCTCACAGAAGATTATCTCTGTGACTTGAGTGTATGCAGTACATGAGAGTCACAAGCTGGGTCAAGTTAACCTTTAGCTCCATGCAATATGTGGGGGAGGGAATGATACGGTTTGTTTGTCACACTTGTTATTAGCTTGTCATTAATGTAAACTGAAGCTTTCAGTGTTACCTGTTCTTGTAAAAACATGCTGCTGTATGCATCATGTGTCTGCAGACTCTCCACTGCACAAAATAGCATGTTACATAGTTTAGTCAGCCATACAACACACATTGTTCCTTTAAAATATGACAGTTCTTGACTGGGTTGCAAAACTGTTCCAACAGGAGAAACACTGTACTCCTCTGTTTTTGGTCAGTTGCAGGGCTTATTGTAATTACGGGTGTAACGGTACACAAAAATCACATTTCAGCATGTAGCTCGGTTTCGAAGGCACTGTTTTCTGCAACTTCATGGTAATGTAGTGTCACAATAATTACCTGAGGGGTTTCATTATGCTTAGCCACATAATTGGGGGGTGGGGGGTCATGTGTTTTGACCACTGCTGTCCCTAGAGCTTCCCAGACCATAACATACAACTGTTGGTCATAATAACTTGCTGGTACAAATGACACACAGTCATTTTTTTACAGGAGAACAGTCTCTAACATTATGCTTCCTAGGTGTGAAATGGGCCTGTTTGGTTTTCATGTCCTGGTTCAGGGCATGTATATATTGTTGTTTCATCTGAAATAGGTTGAGACACATGCAGGAAACACCTAAAGTAAATGGGGGGAAACAGCTTCATACCAATAACATAGTGAAACGTAGTTGGCATGGATGAAGTGTCAAGTGCAGCGCTCTCTTAGACTTGAAAATGGCAAGTGGACAAGACAGTTAGAGGATCCACCTCATTGTTTTGGTCTGTTTTACAACGGAATGCAAAATAATCAGTATTTTTCACAAATTGTTATAATATTACCATACAATGTGTGTAACTTGCATTTATAATGAAATTAAAAGAGAGGGAGACTTGTGGAACACAAATGGGAAAAACACTTCTGCATAGTTAATGAAACAGAAGTAGAAATGACACAAAAACTAAGACCCATGTTGTTTCTCCACAGTGAGGACTAGAATGGTAAGCAGCCAGCCAAAGTACGAGCTGATGCAGGAGGTGGGGCGTGGCAGCTACGGTGTGGTCTATGAGGCAGTAGTGAAGCGCACAGGGGCCCGGGTGGCTGTGAAGAAGATCCGCTGCCACTCTCCAGAGAATGTGGAGCTTGCGCTGCGGGAGTTCTGGGCCCTCAGCAGCATCCAAAGCCAGCACCCGAACGTCATCCACCTGGAGGAGTGTATCCTGCAGCGGGACCAGCTGGCCCAGAGGATGAACCATGGCTCTAGCTCTCCACTCTACCTGGAGGTATTTTTTTGAAACGGGGTTGGGGTCCGTGCACTGTCGAAGGCTTGCAAGATAAATTGTTTTGTGAGCATGATTTCTCAAACTGTAATTTCTATTGATGTAAAACACATTAATTTGATAATCTTGATTAGGACTTGCAGATGTGGATGTAATCAGGTACTAGAAGCATTGTCTGCCAAGGGGTACACATATTCAAAGATTATCATGTTGTTTCATATTGTAATTACACAAAGGTTACTTCACTTTGGGGCACTATACCAGGGTTCACATTACTGTTTCCTGTTGGTAGAAAACAAGTAACACTTAAAGGTACAGCGGAGGAGCGACTCTGTGATTGTCAGGGGAGGATCAACCAGACTGTCAAGTCCAGGTTTCGATATAAGAAGAGATTAACAAAAACAAAACACAGCTTCTACAGGCTGCCAGTACTGTATATGCTTTAAGAAAACACTGAATAGGTCAAAGTGTTTATTTGTCATATGCACAGTTAGGAAACGTGTTTCCCTGTACAATGAAATTCTTACTGTGCCGTCCACATGAATAGCACAAAATAAGTGAAATATAAAGTAGATAAATAAGTAACACAAAATCTAAGGCACTTTAAGCAGCAACAAATGTAGCAATATAATAAGAATATAATAGAGAATGTATGCTGCATGGGAGCAGCATGTGCAGCAGTCAACAGTCAATGTGCAATTATGCATGTGCAAACTGAGAATGTAAACAGTACAGGTCATCAGTACATGACGTATTTCCTGGTAACAAACTCCTGTCAGCTGTTTAGGAGTCTGATGGCAGAGGGAAAGAAAGAGTTTTTCAGTCTGGTGGTCCTACACTTCACACTTCTGAACCTCTGGCCAGAGGGTAGGGAGGCAAACGGTCCGTGCTGGGGGTGAGTGGGATCTTTGAGGATGGAGGCAGCTTTCCTACACACCCTGCGGTGGTAAATGGGGTCCTGGTGATCTTCTCAGCAGTCTTTACCACTCTCTGCAGGCGCTTGTGGTCTATAGCAGTAGTGCTGCCATACCAGACAGTGATGCAGCTGGTCAAGATGCTCTCAATGATGCAGCTGTAGAAGTTGCAAAGCATCCTAGGCGACATGCCAAACCTCCTCAGCCTCCTCAGGAAGTACAGCCGCCGTTGGGCCTGCTTGACCAGCTGTGTGGTGTTAAGTATCCAAGTGAGGTCCTCACTGATGTGATCACCCAGGTATTTGAAGCTGCTCACCCTCTCCCCAGCCACCCCCCTCCCTCCTGCAGGCTGCTTCGTCCCCACCAGTGATACGACCTATCACTGCAGTGTCGTCCATGAACTTTGGGATGATGTTGTCTTTGTGGGAGGCGACACAGTCATGGGTGAACAGGGTGTAGAGGATGGGACTGAGGACACATCCCTGTGGGGTGCCAGTGGTCGAAATAATGCTGGCTGAACTATTGCTGAATAGACTGAAATGTTTTAAGTAAATTAAAAGCATCACTGTGTTGTCACGTATTCTATCAAAGACACTAAACTGTGGCATTTATAGTTCAAGGCATGTTAATGTTAGTGGTTTTAATGGGCCATTGATTAGGAAGAAATGGCAAATTCACACTTAGCCAAAATAAACCTTAATCTTCAGTTGGTGGTGCAAACAGTAGTCATATGGTCACAGAGATAACTGCAACAGCCGGCAGAGGAGTCCAGTGACAGTGTGTGTGTGAAATGCACTTGTTGGTTGGCCACATGGGGCAGCTGTAGCTCAGGAGGTAGAGCAGTCATCCCATAGCTGGAAGGTTGACGGTTTGATTTTCATTCTCCCCAGTCAATCTGTCTAGGTGTCCTTGGGTAAGACACTGAACTCCAAGTGGCTCCTGATGGCCAGGTCAGCGCCTTGTAGTCAGTCTGTGAGACTTGGTGCCGCAAATGGCTGGCCTGGTTCTGTACTGGAGACAATTTCCTTGTTTGTACATACTTGGCCAGTAAAAGTGATTAAATAAAAAACTAAAATGTTGCTCTGTCTAAAAATAGACTCCCTGTACTTTCTGTAATGAATTTGACTTTTTCTGTGACAACATAGACACAGAAGGCTAAACATAACGGCATATTACATTTATTAATGTTGCACATTACAGTTCTGGAGATGTAAACTATTGGCACAAATAATTGCCCTTGGAATTTAAAAAAGAAAGAACTGATCCCTAGTTGAGTGATGTGTACTGCTGATGTGCATTAGCAGAAGAGCTTGAAGTTTCTGGTTGGATCAGTGTTGTCTGTCGACTCTACAGTTGCACGGACATGTTGTCAGGTTGATTTGGGGAGGAGAGCAGACAGGTTGACAGGGGCTCCCCTCCCTCGTCAACCTGTCTGCAGCCTGTCATATCTCAGTGCCTGCCCGCTGAATGACGACAGGCCCACGAGCACTCTGCTGGTGCTGATTAATAGTCCCAGAGTGGAGCGCGGGGCTATTGTGATTCAGTTTTCAGCAGTGCTAGCGTTGGACACTTTCCCAGAATCCCTTTATTCCTACAGTTTTTTTTATTGCTCAATAATGTGCCAGTACATGCTCAACAGAAGAATAGATAATAGGGCAGAATTATCTGACCGTACCAACTGTGGGATAATTTGAATCTATTATTTGTGGAAATCTTGGCTAAGTGGCATGTGAAACAATCTGCGGCCATTTGTTTCCAGCAGGGTTTCCACTAGGAACTGCCTGCTACACATATTCAGAGCATTTGATTTTCCTGTAAAGCTGTTGACATCAAAAGCATTTGTGTGGTTTAACCAACCACATTTAACAAAAAGTTTTATTCTTCAACTAAAAGATCAACTACTTCAAGTGACATTTTAGGTACTGTCCCATACCAGTTGACACTTCAGTGATTTACAATGTACATGACTTCACAACTGGTGATTACATTGCTTTGTGTTTGCATATTAGCTCTTGTGAACAGCTTTCATCTCATATTCTTGTACTGCCATTTGAACTGCTTTCATGTCTCAAGTGCAACATGATGTATAGAGTTGAATCTAGGGGTGTAAGGATCAATCGATCTGGATCGATCCATTGATCACACAAAACATTGATGCAAATCAATTGTGTCATTGGTTTGTTTGCTTTTATTATGATAGTCAGTGCTGTTCTTTTCCAACTGGACAACAAGCGCCAGGCGGTGCAGCTAGCATTCTGAGACTGGGAATTCACACTAAAAGTGAGACGTGAGCAGACA